CATACCTTCTTCACTCTGCGTATCCACTTGTCCGCATCCAAAGGGTTAGAGCTCCCTTGGAAGGTGGGTGGATGTTGTCTCAGAAATTCTCGAAGAACCACCATCCTTCGATCTCCATTTCCAATTCCGGGTACTTGCGCTAGTGGTTGAGCTCCACCATTATGGTTGTTGTTCCCATTCTGGTTTTGTACCAAAGTGGTGAGCTCCTTCAAGCATTGATAGATGCCATTCATGGCATCGGGAGGTGGTGGTGGTGGTGGATTTGCTTGACCTCCACGACCACGCCCACGTCCACGTCCTCGTCCTCGTCCTCCATCCATCCTGCACATCAATTCACAATTTAATTTCATTGAGGTACAAGACATCCTAATTATTGCTTTAATTTAAAGCCTAAGATTTATATAAAACATAGATCAACAATTTCGTTCAACCTAATCCTGCCTTTCTAGTGGTAATCCATAACCTACAGCTCCCATGTAAGACCTAAAGCCTAAGCTCTGATACCAAATTTGTAACGCCCCAAAAACCCCCTTGGGTGACATTACATTCTAAAAACCATTCACCCCATGAGAGCATTACGTAAATTCATCACGACGAAAGTTCATTCATCAACCATTCATATTTTAACAAAATTTGGGCAGAGTCTCCTTTGTACGGGGAGCTTTACCCAAAACACAACCTGTACAATTATATTACAATTGACCACACCGGGTCCACATATGCATAACTATTGACCACACCGGGTCTATTTATCCATCATAAAATAAACTTTCATTCATCATATGTCATATCCACACTATCATCCCAAAAGAATAGGTCCAATCTTGGCCTTTACATCTCCACAATGTAATAATATAACGCAGCGAAAATAACAAAAAAAAAAAGAACTAGACTTCAAAAGGATATTCTAAGTATAATCTAGTCTAGAACAAAATAAAAGTGTCGCTCTAAGCGTCCACCTCGGGATCCACATTCCCTTCAAGCGGAGTCTCCCAATGGGCGGGCTCCTCGGCTCCTAACTCCTCCTCAAGTGTGAAATCTGAAAATGTTATTTGTAGGGGGTGAGCACGAAGCTCTGTAGCAAAATCCTCTCAACTCATACAAGGTTTATAAAAATATATAAAAGGGTCGGTCTCATTTTTCAACATAGCATAGATACATAATTTGAAATGAAACGGGTGCATTTTTCAACGAATCTCAAGTTTAAGTAACAATAGTAATAGAAAGGAGCAATTTCAACCAAGTGCTAATAAACATCCATTGCCAAAATATAAATCATTTCCCACACATGATATCATATTGTCCTCTCTAACGGGAGCATCCTTACAAGGAACCTCTCACCCTCAAGATTTGGTTTCTCAAGCATCCTTACAAGGAACCTCTTGAGAAAATCACATACTGTCCTCTTTTGGTGTGAGCATCCTTACAAGGAACCTCTCACCCTCAAGATTTGGTTTCTCAAGCATCCTTATAAGGAACCTCTTGAGATGGAATGAGCATCCTTACAAGGAACCTCTCATCCATGTTCATTCCAACAACCATACAAGATCACATCATCCCAACAATCGTCACACATAACCAAGGATTCCATAAATCTCCAATTTACAAGCAAATTTCCAAAGATCCACAAATCCATTATGAGGCAATTTCAATAAACAATTAGGAAAATACAAGAGATCACCACAACATCATTTATTACTCAACACAAACCACTAAAGTTTTCAAAACCAAGATTGAGTGACTATAGAGAGAAAAATCCATATTTCTCAAAAGTTAGGGTTGAGAGCAAAAACAAGAGAAAGTAGTTACCCAACCATAACATTGTTTAGAACATGATAATATTTGCATAGACATCAAGAATCAAAGGTTTCCTAACATACATCTAAGATTTAGATCAAAAAAAAAAAACCTATATGTATACATAGCCCTAGTCTCAATGTAAGAGAAAGAGAAAGAGAAGAAATCCCCTACCTTGAATCAAAGTTTCAAACCAAAAACCCAAGCTCTAATGACCTCCTTTCTCCCTTTCCTCATTTCCTCTATCTTCCCCAAGGGTGCTAAGGGGTTTGGGGGTGAGAGATGTGAGAAAAAATGGAAGAAATTGACTGGATTCTGTGTTTTAAACACAGCAGTCCGCGACAAATCACTGTTCATGGCTGAATTTTGAGTTTTTTTCCAAAATTATAGTTTTGCCACTAGAAATCTCCAATTTGATCCATACGACTACCCTAAGGTTTTTTCGACGTTCTGGATTCATTTTAATGTTATTTTAACCTAAAAACATTGCTTTTTATGATTTATTTCAAAACTAAAATAAATTCACACTTAGAACATTAAAATTTCTATTTTATTTCTTCGAACTACTATAGGTGATATCCTTACGATTTTAATATATATATGGTTTATTATTAAGTCATTACATATAGAAGAATCACTAAACAAGTACATTAATATATTAATGTAAACACATGGGGTTTTACACCTTCAAGGTCTAATAAGAAAGCACAACCCTTTACTATCCAAGGAGCACCATAGTGCAGATTTTTGGTCAACTTCATAGAATAAAATGATTTGACTCAGGTATTTCTAGGAGGTGTAACATATATGGTTGGAGAGATATACGAGTTAGGGTTCTAACAAAAATAACGGTGCACAATTCGGACTTTCCAATAAAGAGTTATGATGAAATTAGCGAAAGGTAGTCTGCCGGACAGATTTTTGGGACAGTGTAGACACTACTTCGTAATATGGACATAACTCCTTCCTCCTAGTTCCGATTGAGATGATTCAAGGTGATATGGAATCCTAAGAGAGAGCTCTACAAATTTCATGTTTTAAGTTTTGAGAGATATGGACTGCATCAAGGTCGAAATCGAGCTTGATGTTACAGCCAGTGCACTGTTCATCCCTTTTTCATTCTACCAAATTCAAACACACATCACTACACATATCCCCATTTTTACAACAATTATTTACTATATATCTATATACATATATAAAAGAAAATGCGGGTTGTTACAAAACATCTCAAAATCAAACATAGAATGAAACATCTCAAAATCAGATAACTCTCGACATATGTGTTTCATTCAAGAAAGTACGCGTAGATAACAGTAGTCTCAGTCCATGTATTGTACCTTGTTGTGTGTAATTGATTTATTCTCTTTAACAATTCAACCTCAAATTGAAATTGGAATCAAAGAAACATTTAATAGGTTTTCAAGGAATAATTTAGCAAAAACATGAAAATTTTAGTGTGGTATCGATGGTCATAAGCAATCATTCACTGCATTGAGCATTTGACAACATATGTAGGATTGTTCAAAAAATAGAGAACAATGAAAAAATATTTGTAAATAGTTTGCATACCTTTGCCCATTCGTTCAATCATTCCATCTAAGCACCATTGTCTGATTCTCCCATTATGTCCCAAATCATATTCTTTGGCAAAATTCCATAATGATAAAATAAATTTCAAACAAAGATATACTTTGTACATCGTTACTAAGCTAGAACTAAGCTAGAATCATATCATGTATCATTCATAGAACTAATTTAATTAATCATTTACCAACATATAGAATGACACATATGGATTAGATTAGTGATTTTCAAACATTGATGATAAGAAATTCAAGTACCTTTTCTAGGTTTCTAATTTGTATTTTGAGATGTTTTCATAGCATTGGGGTAGAATATATTATCTCCTTTGACCAACAAAGTCAATTGGATCCTTGACATCATCATAGATCAATAGTGCATAGGATCTGTTGAAATAACACAAAAAATCAATAATAAATTAGGACCCATTATTCCTCTATCAAAGAAAGCTACTAATTTACTAATTTTTAAGAGCACACTAAAAATAATAGCATTGCGTCATTGATAGGTAAAACAAGTGAAAGCTGCTCAGCAATGTCATTGTGAAGCTCAAACAATATTCAATAATAGATGATACATGATCATGTTTGATTTTAGTAGCGCATGAAAATTAAAAGAGCAAAGAGGGTAGGATCAACCTCAAAATATGTCACAACAAAAAACATATACAAATCAAACGAAGGCGATTGAGGGCCAATGGAGGCATTATAACTAAAAGAACAAATACAAAACAATATCACGAAATTACAATAAAAAATTTAAGAAAGGAAAGGAGAATGGTAAAATAAGATTGACAACTTACTTCTAGCCAAACAAACCAATTCACATAAAAGAAGAAAGAAGTGTTAATAGTTGTTTGGATTTTACATTCTCTTTGACAATCCAGAGCCCTATTCGATATTAGAATAAATCTAGATCTTTATTTAACAAAATATGATTATATTTACGATATGACATTTAATATACCTCAAATTCCAAATGTTTATCATGCCATCTTTAGAACCTAATTACATCTAATTTCCAATACACCAGAAACCACTGTCGTAACACTATTTGTGTGTGGATATCACAGCTCATCACCTTCCATGGAGACAAAGAAATGATTAATTAGATAAATACAAAACTTGCTTGTATTTCTTTTGGTTTTTAAGGGAGGGAAGAAGGGGAGAGAAAAGGAGAACACAAAAGCAAGAGCAAAAAGAAAAACTTGATAAAGATGAACAGGATGAGGCCTATTCAGTTTGACATCAAATAACTGAACTCAAATGCCATCAACAAGAAGAATGCACATACCAAAACAATGATTGACCAAATTGAATTTCTCCAATTAGAATGACTAAACCAAATAAACCTCATTCTTCCTCCTTCGATTTGAATCCACGAACCTCTTTCCATCTCAGGAGTAGAATTTGTGTTCATGGTCCAAGACCTTGATTTGATGTTCATCATTCAAGCACATTGTTGGGGAAAAAAAGTGACAGAACAAGATTTGAATGGGTAAATTAATGTGTTGGGGAGAGAGAGAGAGGACAGAGAAAAGGGTAAAGTAACGCACAAGAGAGAGGGAGATAAATAGAAAAAGAAAAAGAGAGAGAAAGTTGAAGTGATGAATGTAAGGAATGTGCAGTGTGTCAATTTCGGTGGAAGCTCAACAGTCCACACAAGTCATAACTGTGAGAATTATATATATAATTTAAAATATTATTGACTACAGAAAGATAGGATAGGCAATAAGTAGTTTGTTAAGGTTATTTTGGTCAAATAAATATTTTTCACTTTTGTTGATATTTATAAGTATTATAGATTAAGGACATATTTGAAAACTTTATGGGATGACCCCCATTGCCTACCTAGCCTTCATTACTAAGAAAAAGAAAAACACACACACACACACACAGACATATTTTCCTAGCATGCATACGTTCCTCGTAAAAGTGGGATAAATTTTTAAGACATTTATTATTGTGTAATATATTTCAGAGTGACGCATATCAGACAACAGGATGCTACAACCTTTTATGTGCAGGATTTGTGCAAACAAATAGTAGGGTGGCCATCGGAGCTGCCATTTCTCCAGTGTCCTTACTCAACAACAATCAATATGATATCACCATCCTTATTTGGAAGGTCTATATATGTTTCATCTTTGAATTCAAAATTTTTTTGCAACATTGATGTTCTATAAATATGTCATTTGTGAATGGTAATATTATGTTCTTGTTTAAATCCAGGATCCAAAGCTTGGGAATTGGTGGATGGGTCTTGGAGATAACACATTGATAGGATATTGGCCAGCAGAGTTGTTCACACACCTAGCAGACCATGCCACCATGGTGGAGTGGGGTGGTGAGGTGGTGAACTCAAGGGCCAAAGGTGAGCACACATCAACCCAAATGGGCTCTGGCCATTTTGCCCAAGACGGGTTTGGAAAAACTAGTTACTTCCGTAACTTGGAGATTGTGGATTCTGATAATAGTCTTAGCTCAGTGCAAGACATATCGACCCTCACTGAAAACATAAATTGTTACAACATCGAGAGCTCCTACAACAGTGAATGGGGCACCCATTTTTACTACGGGGGACCAGGGAACAACCCTCAGTGTCCATGATGATTCTTTACCAGCCAAATTCTTCTTTTTTATTCAAAATTGTATGTATTATGTTGTGTCCACTCTTGTTTTGGCTAGTTCCCCATTTGTTTTTATATCCATGATGTGAGAAAGCGATGTATGTGTAAATAAGACTAAAGCATCAAACAAGTATGGAAATAGCAATATTCTACACAAGTAATTACTAGATTATTTTCTTGTTTTTGATTGCAAGTACAAGTTTATACATGCATAGCTTATTTGTGTTGAATGATCAAAAAATGTTGAGTTTTGTTTCACTTATGATTATTCCTAATGAATATCTCCAGTTGTTTGTGTTATTTCAAATATAATAAAATCTTTTATTGAAATGTCTAATTTGAAACATGTAATTTTGTAAGACTCCGTACAAGAATTAAATAAAAATAATATCATATTAATATTTCTCTTAGGATGAATAAAAGGATTGTAAAAACGTCAAATCATTGTTAAAAGATGATCATGGAGTTTGAGTTTAGGATGAATTAACTTTCGGGTCAAACTTAGTTTCAAAGGAGTATAAGCTTGAGAAGGGTGATTAGGTAAGTTTCTAAATAATTTTAGGGTAAAATAAGGTTTGCATTGGATCCGGAAGGTCGAAAAAACTTGGGAGAGGTAATATGAGATATATTAGAAGTTAGAAAGTATTTAGGAGTTAAACTGCATTTTAGAAAGAATTCAGGTAGGAAGGAATTTGACATTACCTTAGTATTTTAGCCATAAATTTTTAATCTGAACTCTAATGGAGCTTAAATTTGGACATTAGAAACATGACTTCAAGGGCTACAAAAGTGTATTTCATGAATATTTCATGAATTGACTTCTAAGTAGGTGAAAACTGCTCCTGAAGTTGGGACAGAAAGTTGTCACCATCCAGACGCTCAAAGTACCGTCCAAACAGTACTCCTTACCCAAAAACTTTATTTTTCATAAAAAAAAGTGACTTTGAACCATCTGGAGGCCCAACGACCGTTTGGACACTATGCTAAAAATGGTCCAACTCAATTTTAGGATTTTTCTCTGTTTTGCACCCTATAAATACCATAAGGACGTTCCTTTAGCCATGTTTGTTTAGTTTTCAACCCTAGGCAACCCAAGAGGGTGAGAGAGAAGGAGAAAACACAAGATACAAAAGGGACTCTCACATTGGAATGGATCAAACATGTTAGGTTTACACACAAACTACAGAATCAACGTAGGAGATTCTTATCAAGTTTTTTCATTGAGGCTTTGGGTATTGCATATATATGTTTTCAATCTTCTTTATCATTGAAACATAGTTTTGAACAAAATACATGCTTGGGTTCAAGAAACATTGTTCTTGAATTTCCAAAATCCTAGTTTTCTAAAAACATGTTTGATTATGAAAAATATATTGATTCTTGATTTCTAAATTCCTTTTCTTGATTAAATCATGTTTTTATTTAATATTTTGTTCTTGTTCCAAGAAATTTTATTTTTGATAAAACCCTAGAATTTTGAATATCGAAATTATGAAGTTTTTCTTAATATGATCTCTTGCATATTTTAATTCCTTTATTACTGTAATATATTGAGAATTTTGAAATTGTGATACTTGAATTGCAAATGAAAATTGTGATTGGTTAAGATTGTGGTGGTTGAGAATATTGTGGATTCATATTTTGTATGGTTTGTTGTGATGGACTTGAATTGCTTTCAAAAGCTGTCGTAGAATATTAGAGGTTAGTCTATCGTAGTGGGAGTGAGATGGTTTCCTAAAACTTGTAGTGAATTGTTATTTGTGAGAGTAACCACTATTATTCACTTAAGTTCGAGGCTAAGGGATGATATGCCTTTCCTTGGAAGGATTCGTCAATGCCGTGCGAGATAGTATATGCCCTTCCTAAAGTGGTTTGTGATTTGGTCCTGCAGGGAATGATTGAGATTGTGTGGTTGTGATGGGTGAACGAGGTAGAATCTTTGTGTAGATTCCTAAGAAGCAACCAACATACATGACAATGAGGATGAACTAACATACATGAGAATGTGGAATGATGTTACTGAGATATTCATTGATTGTGTTAATTTCTTGCAAGTTTATTCCTGTCATTTGATTTACTGTATTCCGTACACTTGAGATCATAACAACTATCATGGTTTTATTCTCAAAATCTATATATGCTATTTTCTAAAAGAGACTTGCCATCTTTTATTATTGTAAACCTTATTGGAATTTGAGAGGAATTTCCTTTGGGCTTTTGCTCACCCCCTACAACACACTTATAGATTTTGGCTTAGAAGAGGATGTCAATGTGGATGAGCAGATTGATTACGAGCCATTGTAGGATCAAAATGTGGATCCTACCTTAGAGGAATAGAGTTGTTATTTTTGGTTTAGAGTTTGAGAGATTTTTATGAAACAATATTTTAGCTAATTTTTATTAATCCGCTGCTAGATATTCTTGGTTTTGAATTGTCAGTTTGAGAAGTTTCAATGTTTTATTGGTTTTAGTATTTATTCCTTGTCAAATGGATGAATGGTTTATTACTTAATAATTATTTTAGCTCTCATGGTTGGATGGTTTGTAGATAGTAATGTGTTCTATGGTGAATTTTGGGGTGTTACAGGTTTGGTATAAGAGCTTAGGAATTAGGTCTTACAAGAGAGTTGTAGGTTGTGGACTATTATTGGAGTATTAGGCTAGGTTGAATAAAAATCTAGGCTTGAATTGGTTTGAAGTTATATCTTTATAAGATAAGTGTGATTTGTTGTTTAGTTGGGTTATGGATTAATTATTTGTTCGAATTCATGGATTAGCTAGCTTAGAGGAGTTGACGAAAATTTTGGGATGTATATGCTAGTTTTATATCATGTCATTATGGACTATTTTTGGAGACGGAAGATAATTTGACTTTTGGTTAGTAAATGATGCTAGACATGAATCTTTTTGTAAGTGATATTATCTATATTGGAGATGGGTATGAGATAAGATTTGTGACAAAAGACACCCAAATTTGAATTGAATAACTGTAGCAAAACCATCAATCCAATAAACTAACTTTCACTAATTGGACCATAACTCTTTGTTTGAAACTCCAAATTGTGCACCGTTTCTTTTTTTGTTAGAAGCTTAACTCGTATATCTTTTCAATCATATAAGTCACACATGCTAGAAATACTTGAGTTAAAACAGTTTATTCTCCGAAGTTGATCAAAAATCTACATTGTGGTAATCCTTGGATAGCAAAGTATTGTGTTTTCTTCTTAGACTCTGAAGGACATTGTAACGCCCCAAAATCCACCTTGAAAGACATTACTATCTACAAACCATCCAACCATGAGAGCAACTAAAAATAACCATTAAGTAATAAACTGTTCATCAATTTGACAAGGAATAAATACTAAAGCCAATAAAACATTGAAACTTCTTCAACTTATAATTCAAAACCAAAAATATCTAGCAACAGAATAATTAAAACTAGGTAAAACATTGTTTAATAGAAATCTTTCAAATAAAATAATCCAAACTAAGGCGAAGCATCTCTAAGCCTCCACTTCAGGATCCTCATACTGACCCTCTCCATTCTCGAGGTCGACCTATTCATATAATTCTAGATTCTCTCAACACTAAAATCTAAAAAATATTATGGTAGAGTGAGCAAAAAAGCCTAGTAGAAAAACCTTCTCAAACCCAAACAAAGTTTATAAATCATGAAAACAGGTAAGTCACAATGTGTAAAATAATATATGTAATTTTGAAGTAAAATAGTGAAAGTTTATCAGATCTCAAGATTACGGTAGAGTTCATAATAGAATAGAATCATTCACAAAAATCACAACTCATAACATAATATCTCATGTATGCAGGTAGACTACCGTGAATCTACACACCGAACCTATCTCGTCCACCCACAAACATAAACCATCTCAAATCAATCCCCGCAGGGCCACAACACTTACAACACTTTAGGAAGGGCATGTACCGATGTATCAGCATTAACGTATCCTTTCCTAGGAATAGTGTACTGGCCCCCAGCCTCAAACTTACATGGACAAATAGTGGTTAGCTCTCACAAGAAACAAAACCCCCTACGAGTGTTAGGCAACCACCAAACCCCTCAAGATAGGAAAATCTATAACACTCTATGATACGTATTCGAGTGTAATTCATGTTCATCTCACCAATCAATACAAGAGATAAAAACAACACTTTTCATAAAATTCAATTACAATCAAGAATCATTGATCCATAACTTTTTTAAAAGAATAATTCAACAAAACATGCAAGAGATCCCACAGAAAATATATTTGAATTGATTGTAATCAAGAACTATGGTTTTGTAATCAAGAAAGAATAGATCTTGGAAATAAATCATGTATTTTGTTCAATAAATGAATTATGGATTCAAACGAATGTACAAGCATTGTAGATCAATATTTATATCATAATAAGGATGAAAAAGATATATTATATAACCCTAATCATCAATGAGTGAATCTGAGAAAGAACCCCTACCTTGATTCTTGAATCTTGATCCTAATGTGTTTTGTTGCGATTTTCCCACGTTAATCCTTCAAGATTTATCCCGTTCTTCTTCCTGTTTTTCTCCTCAAACTTTTCTAGGTTTCTTGGGATTGAAAAATAGGTAAAGACTCTTTATAGCTTCTATTGTTTTTCGACATTCTGGATTTAATGAAAACCTTATTTTGACCTCAAAATATTTATAAAATTACTTTGCCACCCTTCTCAAGTTTAAATATTTCCAAAACTTAATTTACTCTGAAAGTCAAATATGCTTGAAACTTAAATTTTATAATCAATATTTTAATAATTATTCTAAGTTTCTATCATTATTTTATTCATCTTAGGAGAACTCTTAAGATATTATTATCCTTATTTAAATTTTTGTTTTTTTTTAGTATGGGGTCTTACAGACATATCCTTAAGCGAACTTTCACACTATTTAGGCTTTGATTGAGAAACAGCCCCATGCTGATTTAAGTGTTTTTGATGGATAACAATATAAAACGTGACTACGATTTGGTGCCTTGTTGACTCTAAGTATTTTATTCTATTATTAGTGTTGCTTATATTTTTAGAAGTGAAGGAGATATGTTAACCCAGTTTGGATGTGTGGAGGTAAGGTCAACTTAGATGTTTTTAAGATG